GTATCCCAGATACATACATACATATACATGTGTATTACATGTGATTTACACGTATATGACGAATGTCGCTTGCCTCCATCCTATTCTCGCTCGTCTCTTTCCCTATTTCAATGTATCTGATTGCAAAAAAACATGTATCTAGGTGTATAAAACATATATCGAGGCGTATCACACTAGAAATTTGTTATGAAATTATTAATTAATGATTTAAAATATAATTATTTCAAACTATATAGAGAATTAATAAATATGGTAAAAATATTTGTGTAATTAGATAGTTTAAAATATGTATCTGGCTATTAATTGCTTTAATAAAGCTATACAATGTGAAAATCTCAATCCCTTTAGATAATAAATTAAACAAGTAATATTTGAATTATTTTTTCAAATTATATGTGGTCAGATATGAAATTATAATACAAATTTAGCATAGTATATGGATAAAATTAGAGTTACGTTATAAGTTACACATTCACATGAAGATAATAACTTTTACTTAAACATTGTATAACTAGAATAACAAAAAAGAAAAAAAATTAACAACAACAATAATACGAGATTTATCGATGCCAAGTATGATAAATTTCTACCCAACTTCTAGAGCTGAAAAAGACTACATAACAATATAGTCACCATATTCTAGTGGCTGAAAACGACTACATAACAATCTAAGTCACACTATTATTCAATAGTAGCAACAACCACAAGAATAAAATATTTGTCATTCTCACTTTTATTTTTAATAGTATAAATTATAGGAATCACATATTATAAGTACTAAATAACATCCTATCCCTTCTAGTTTTCTATTTACCAAAAATCCCTTAAAAATGATGTTTGCGGGATACATAGCATTGTGCACGGGATACATCAACGCTACTACATAACAATATAGTCACCATATTCTAGTGGCTGAAAACGACTACATAACAATCTAAGTCACACTATTATTCAATAGTAGCAACAACCACAAGAATAAAATATTTGTCATTCTCACTTTTATTTTTAATAGTATAAATTATAGGAATCACATATTATAAGTACTAAATAACATCCTATCCCTTCTAGTTTTCTATTTACCAAAAATCCCTTAAAAATGATGTTTGCGGGATACATAGCATTGTGCACGGGATACATAGCGTTTGATACATTCCACATAGCGGGATACATTGCGTTGTGCACAGGATACATGCGGGATACATAGGTAAATAAGGGATTTTTGAAAATTTTGAAATAAGTAGGGATAAATGGATATTAAGGTAAGTAAATGAGTGTAGTTAAGTAATTTATTTGTGTAAATAGATAGTTTCTCCTAAATAGCCCAAGACCAACTTGAATTGGGTTGGGCTAGCCCAAAATCACAAATTTCTTAGGATTAGCTTGACTTTGTATTATCCCCAATCTTCATTATATTATCCACAGATACATACGAATTTAAATGCTTGATTAAACTATGTATTTGTATTTAAAATCCGGAGTTTGATAATAAGTTCAGAACCCATAAACTTCAGATTTTATATTCGCATTTGATATTGGATTGATATGCTAATACTATCCCCTATTCTACCTATCTTATTAAGGTATTATTTCCAGAATTTGAAGTTCAAATTTATTTAAACTCGTCCATTTGACACCCCTACGACCCAACTTATTTGCTCAGCTGGAATTCATGCTTGCAAACTAACAAAAAAAAAACAATAAACGCCAGCTGCAAGAAGTAGAAAATACCAGAAGACTCTTTCTATTATTCATACCTGTTAAAGTGTGTGACCATCTCATCTAAAAGCTTAAGCTGTTAAAGAGAGCACACTTTAATATTTAACTATATTCTCAAGCAACACACCCCCTCATGTGCGGGCCTGATTTTTTTTCATGGGCCAAGCACGTGGAAATTCTTTTTTAATTTTTGGGTGGTGATGAGATTTGATCTCAGGACATCTGTCTACTCTGATACCATGTAAAGATATGATACTTGGGACCTAACTCAACCCCAAAAGCTAGCTCATGAGGGGAGGTTTTGTCCAAATCCATATAAGGAGACCAAATTCTCATTCCTCTACCGATGTGGGACATCTTAACAATACTAATTTCTACAATTAGAATAAAAGGAATGAGTGTATCAGCTTGGCAAATGCCCATTATGTATAAATAGGCGGGTTGAATTAAATTTTAGTGATATAAAAATGAGTAATAATTCAATTCGTCTATAGTTGCACCTTAGAACAATTAGGGAAATATTTTTAGTATGCAATTATTGGCTATTATATGGAGAATATATTGAATTTATTAGTAGTTTAGTACTCTTTTCTACTTATAGTTAGACATTTTTTTAACAACCAACTACTATCTCAATATTTTATTGTAACGATTAAGTTATTCTTCGAATCAATTAACAATAGGAAATATCTAGTCAAATGACGTTATTCTCTAAAATTAAATAAAATTAGATTGAGTCAATCTAATTGATCGATAGAAGTCGCACACACCAATTGGCAATCGTCTCGACCCTTTTATGTTAATTCTTCCAAATATTTATGTTCATTTGTGAATGTTTTAAATTGAAGTACAAAACTTATACATGGTCCATTTCATTTTATACGTCTTAGTTTAACTGTACATATAGTTTAAGAAAAGTAAGAACAATTTTAAATTTTAATTATCGTCTCAATATAGAAAAATTTAAGAATATCACATGGGATATTGGAGTTTTAAAAAAAAGGAAGAAATATATCTGCTATAACATATTAAAATGTTCTTAGATTAACAATATTGTATATAACTTAAATTGATTTTTATATTAAAAAAAGTTATAAATCATTTCAAAGTAGAATGAAAGCATCATATCTTTGGATTAATGAATTTCAAATATCAAATACATGAAACAAATTAAATAAAAAGAATAGAAAAATATAAAAGATCACTCGCAAAAAGCCAACATAGTTATTATTCTTTTTTCAAAAAATGGTCAACCAAACTTGAAAGTTAAAAGTCAACGTTCTTTTTAAATTAAATGCATTTGATTCTTGTGCTTCTCTAGCTAGTGTATCAAGTAAATCGATTATATTGAGCTAAATTTGAATAGATTAAAATGTAGAGTTAATAATCTAAATAGGATATTAAATTCAATGACAACCCTGCCAATGAGTACGTAGTGAATCTTGAATTTCACTCGCCTCATGAACAAATCATTAAGATTAAAGTTAAAATTTAATAAATTTAAAGTTTTACTCATGAAACACATGACGATAATAAATATTACTAATTAAATTGAAATGAGCTAAGTCGAGATGGACTGAACAATGGACCATAGTCAACACACAACCCTTGTCCCATACAATGCCACTCATTTTCCCTTCTCATAGATTCCCCTCTTCTCTTCTTATATATATATATA